CGTAAAATGCGAGAATGGATGCTGCAATCGATGACTTTAAAAATAGGTAATAGTCCGGACAGGGACTTTTCCAGAGAAGATGGTGCCTGCCCACCCCTAAAGAGAGAGTAGTTGCGGTATTAGCGAGCGGAAGACGGGGGTCCCTAGATTGTGTTCAAATAATGGTAGGACACTTTGAACAATCATAGCGCCCTGGTGGATTACGAGGTTTGGAAAGGGACTTCTTTGGAGATATGGGTTTCTTCGGTATTTCTTTCTCATTTTTTCCTGCTGTGATCTTGAGTTAGCTGATGGCTAGTTTTTGGGTACGCTAGTGATCCAGTAGTGGTCGAGAGAGGGGGGAATATGGAGAGCTGGGTAGATGACTTAGTGGGTCAGTGCATTGGGGGATGGATAATGACTTGATCCGGGGTTCTAGAGAATACTTGTCTGAGGAGGTTTCGAGCAATCGGTGGATGCTGTCATCAGTTGTCCTGCTTCTTATTTCTCTCTCTTTTCCAACATGGCCGCAGCCGAGGCACCCCAAACAGGCACGAAACCACTGAGCCAGCATTCTGAGAAATCTGGGGCCGGTTAGAGAGGAAATATTAGTGGGGAAACTTGATGAGATAGCCTGAGGACAATGAATTGATAGTTATCAACACGAGAAATAACCCCTTAGCCCGCAAGCATATCCCTTTGAAGAAATCACACCCTTATCCCGCAGGTTTCTCCTGCTAAAAAAAGATATCCTTAGCCTGAAAGTTGTTCTTGCTGCAGACACGTACCCTTGTCCAGCAAGTCTTTCTGGCCTGGAAAACATACCCTTAACCTCCAAGAGCCACTGGCACAAGGCAACCGTGAATTTGCTCAACAAGATAGGGTATGATAAGTCTCGTGATGTTCTTCTAGTTAAGTGGCTATGACTCTATATTCTATTAATTAAGCAAGTCACGGTCTGACTCGTTGACAATTTCTAGAAAACTCAGCTCGGAAACCTTGCGCCACTGTTCCCGCCTCTATAAACAGCGGATTGTATGTCCCTACTATCCGATGCTTGTTTTCCTGTTCTAACCTGTTCCATCAGCACCCAGCATATACAGGTTCGATGTTGAACACACTGAGCACGCTGGGAACGCTGAACTTGATATAAATATCAATCATCACCATCCCACTGTCTCCGCCCCGCCGTTGTCTTGGGTAATCATCCTTCTAGAAGAAATGACCTTCTCAGGACACTCCTATAGCTCCTTACGTCCCTCTCACGCCTGCTGAAAATACAAATACAGCGAAGATAAACCCCACACTAAACGCACCGCTAATTGACCCCCCTTTTGGAGCCCATATCCGGCAGGCAGGATGGCGGTTTAGCAGAGACATGATTTCTATTTTTGGGGCTTTGGTGTTAGGTTTCATATCTCACCTTGTTGCCCTGGGGTATCAGATATGGTAATTGGTTTTGTTTATATTTCATCCTTCTATGTATCTGGTTCTTTGTTGGAGGTTCATGAGAGTTCTAGTTCGCTTGCGATAATTATGTTTGTTTGGAGTTCCAGAGATCTTGCTTTAGAGATATATATCTCCTGCTCTGTCCTTAGCTACATCATCATCATCAATCATCGGATCTTCCCCGTCCTTCCTCACTTTCCCCCGTCTTGAGTCCATCATTCTTGCACTGGTGTTGCTTCCTTCATTGATGTCCTCTATCCAACTTCACACCCCACAGACGATGGCGGCTTTTGTAGAGTGAGCCAGGAATTACCCTTAACAGCGCCAATAGTCCTCTACTTTGAAATCCTCCTCTCGGGCTACCCACCCTACCGTACCATCACCACAGCGTGAACAAGAAGCACTTCCATTGCATCAGCGGCATTCTGGGTATACGGGGACGGCACAGACATAACGGGTGCTGAATCAAATGTACTAGCCTCTGGTATCCGTGGGTTTCCAGGCTCACGGTCTGCAATTGGAAAATCTGAATTCAGCCCCCCAATCCCGCCAATCCCAAAATGGATTGGTTGCTGCACTCAGGCAGCCAGCGCCTCTCATCCAAGTTCCGTGGTTGTCTTTCCGATACACACGAATTGCGCGTGTTCCCAGAAACGAAACACAGTCAAAAAGGCCAGAGATGCCATAATTGAGCCCAAAATATTTGGCGAGGAAATATATGTTGCCTTGCAGTGAGTGCAGATATCCTCTAGGCGTATTACTGTTTTGGACGGAGTATCAGCCAAACTTAACCTAATCAGAGCAATGGAATACTGGCGGTTAGGGGGCGAAAGGGCATTTTGCTCGCTTAAGTTATCTCGTACTGTAGCCAGCTGATCCACATCTATTTAATCACCATCGCAGGAAAAGCGTTCAATCGATAGTGTTTCTTTATCCTGAGTCGCTTGTAGAACATAATAGGGATTCCATGTAGGGTGGTCCAACCCATTGCTTGACAGCCAACGAAACGAGACCAACAGATCCAGATGTAGTGTTTAGATTTGATCCCACCGGGCAGCCATCTATAATATATACTTCCTCTTGGGCACAGAGGAAGATAAGTTATCACTAAACCCCCCACCACAGCGGTAACCTATGCTCAATTTCAAGGCCTAAATGCTTGGTGCAGGCTTTTGTTGCCCTCTTTAAGCCAGACGTATTATACACCCTACTGGAAACCCTTGAACTTCTTACCCTTCCAACAACAACCACAAACGATCTCAAATTGTTCCCCTATGAGGGAACCCGGGACCTCCCTCTCGCCCTGCCCCCCCGAATCACCCCAACCTATCTACTCGGAACTTTGGGCTAGCTGCCGCCGGCCGTGGCCCCTGCGGCAAAAAAAACTGCGGGTAAAACGATAACTGGATGCAGCAATGGGTGACATTAGAAAGTGGATGGTGGTGCAGACCAGAATCTTCTCCAGGAAGTGGCTGTCTCCCCACCCCCCAAAGAGAGAGTAGTTCCGGTACGTACAGGCCGAGGCAGGGGGCTCCCTAGCTTTTTTTCTGAAAATGGAACGACCCTTTTAGGAATCATAGCATCCTGGTGGATAGTGAGGTTAGTAAAGGGACCTTTTTTAGAGATATGGGATTCTTCTGCCTTTCTTTCTCCTTTCCTGCGGTCCTCTTAGGTTAGCTGATGGGTCAATTTTAAGCACCATTGTTATTCAGTGGTGGTTGAAAAGGGGAGGGTATGGATAGCCAGGCGGGCGACTTTCGGGGCAGATCTCGGGTGGATGGAAGATGGGTTGATGGGGGGCTTGAGAGAATACTGCTTTGGTGAGGCTTTGGGCGAGGGGTAGTAACTGTTGTAGTCTTCCCTACCTCCGATTTCTCTCAATTTTGAGAACATGGGTGGAGTTGAGGTATTTGACCGATGTTTCAGAACGCCATGGAGTCAGTCTCCACAGTGATTTTAGGTAGTCAGAGGGATTTTCAGAGGGCAAGATGTACGAGATAACCTGCCAATAATGAATTGACAGGTATCAAGACGAGGGCTATGAGGTAGCATCTATATTGATGGGATGTTCTCTGACACAAGATCCGGCATTCCTAGCTCCCGGCCATCACGTAACATAGCTGATTGACCCCTAAAGGTCTCATAGTGTGGGAAACCAATTTCAGAATTTCCGTTCCAACTCCTGTGTCACCCGCCTTCTCTGCTTCATCCCTTCCTAGCCTTCGTATGGATATGTGCCCTGGGTATTGGTCCTTGGTCAACTTCTCAAGCTGTCTCCTCCTTTGATGAATTTTCATCTCTCTATTGACCACATCGACTTTCAATAACGCCTACAGGGCCCTAGTGACATGTTGTATCAGTAATTGTAACCCGCGCTGATTCCTTGCTTTTTCAATAACCCTTAGTATATCCTAGATCTTCAAGAAACTTCCTAGAATACCTTTTATGATATCTGTCCTCAGCCCATCGTTCATTTGTTAGGGAATGAAGTCAGGGTCGAGGGGGTTTTTGTTTTTTTTAGAAATATTGCTCCATGCCCGCCATGCTTACCCATGCCTTATGGCGATATGCATTAGTTCTTTACCCATAAAACTTTCAAGATCCCACAGAAATAGGGTCTCCCGACAACTTGAAAGGATTTCTTCCTACTCTGATGTTTTCTACAGCCATACCCGTATTAAGAACATAGCTGGCGACGGGTTATAGTACCCGGTGAAACTTTACAGAAAGGATTGTGCCTCACTTATGGCCCCGGTGAATGGACTGAGGGCCTGTGTTCCGTACTCACCACTACCAGGAATGGTAGTATAAATAGGTACCGCAGTAACAGGACGCGAGGTGATTGCGTTGACAGCGAGATTGGACCGTCAGGGGAGGCATCCTTTGGCTAAGTCCTCTGACGATCTCCCAACAAGGTCCATCCTACCTTTCATCCTTCGAACCTACTTACAATTACCCTTCACATTCAGCACAGTGGAAGAAAGCATATCTGAATCCTACCAGGTTGTCCGTGCAGAAAGAAAATCACCTTAGCCCGTAAGTTTCTCCCTTTCCAAGAACCATACCATGATCCCTCAAGTCACCCTTACTAAACCTCAAATACCTTAAGCCCAAAAATTGCACCTACTCCGAAAACATACCTTTACCCGGCTGTTTTCTCCAGCCGAAAAAGATTCCTTCATCGACGACAAACTACCGGACCACAGAACCATAAACCTGCTCAACGAGGTAGAATAATCAAGCTTCCGAGACCTGATTTTAGTCGAGTGGGAGTGTCATACTGCATTTGGTTAATCATGCAAGTCACAGGCTAACTCATTGGCTATCCATAGAAAGTGGAATACGGCAAGCTGCCATACTGCGCCCGTCTATATAAACCATGGATTGTCCCTACCCATAATTCACTTCTTCTTTTCCTATGCTAACTCCCTGAATCAGTACCCCGTACCTACAAGTTCAGAGTAGAGGACAGTGAACATATCGAGTACGCAGAGCAGGACCGTGGTCGAAATCCACAACATCCACCCAATCCCGCTCACACACTACCTCGCAATACTATCTTTCCCGTCCAAATGACAGCTATACCAAGCTGCGCTGCATTTCCCCGCCCTCCTATCTCGTCCATAGAGGCCAATCTCTACTACTATGGCCTATACTCGAGGCCAATTCTGGTTGCTCGTACCAGCACAACACTTTGGAAGCCCCCTGTCTGTCCCCCAGGGTACCCCTCTGCCAAATGGCTTCGCACTGTTGGCAATCACCCTCTTGGTAACATCTGGGAGGGCAATCTGGCTCCGCAGATCCACAAAATCCTGGAGTCCCGGGCGGTGAAGTGGACAAGTACAGATGTGGCCCGCATTGGACTGGTCGGAGAATTACTTCCCCCGGTAATCATTTGGATTGGTGTGCAGCCTGCCACTCTTTCCAGAGAAGATGGCCATGCTGTTGCTATGGCGTGCAAGGCTCTTCTCGTGGAAAATCAGATCTCCAATGTTGAAGTCGAGATCCGTGAGTCTGTGGTAACTCAATATGCGGGCCCCAAGCTTTTGAAGCCCGCCCCACCAGCCGACCCCACTGCAGAGCTCCGTGAACCTCTTACGTCTACTTTGGGCCTTTCGATTTGTAGTACACGTACCCTCTGGGCTGAGGGAACGGGGGGTTTTTATCTAACCGACAGAAACATGAAGCTCTATCTGGTAACTGCACGTCATGTTGTCATCCCATCTGACTCCGACAACCAGGTACATGAGCACAAATTCTCAAGTCAGCGTTTGAATAAAATTGCACTTTTCAGCCCCACCAGCTTCAAGGATTATCACCAACGTATCGCAATTGCTAGCAGTGATAAGCAGTCTGTTGCAGAGTACATGAAGCGAGTTCGCCAGGTAGCTTTTGAAGGAGTTGGACCAGCTGAAACAAACTCGGTGGAGGCAATGAAGGTACAGACATATCAGGATAATACCCTAAAAGAGGCCATGGATGCAAGCGAGGCCCTTCGAAAACTCCACGTGGAGGTTGCTCAGAACTGGAGCAATCTTGAAAACCGCATTATTGGACACCTCCGGTTCTCTCCAGTTTTGAAATATGGTGCGGGTGAAAAGCGGTATACCCAGGACTTTGCTCTCATTGAGATTGACCAATCAAAGATCGATATTGGCAGCTTTACCGGTAATGCGATTGATCTAGGTACTGAGATCGTACCTGGAAAATTCACACGCATGATGTTCCCACATCCTAAGAATAGCCACTCCTTTACGTATCCAGCCAACCGCCTGTTCCAGATCCGAGGCACAATCCCGGATGCAGAGCTCCATGCTCCTACGATGGAGGATCAGAATGATGAACGGTGTCTTATTGTCCTAAAGCGCGGGCGTACCACAGGTCTCACGATTGGTCGTGCAAACTCTATATCATCTTTTGTACGTCATTATGGCGAGAAGGGCAAGGCAGTTACCTCGATGGAATGGCCAATTTATAACTATGACGACAAGAGTGGTCCCTTCTCGAAGAAGGGTGACTCTGGTGCTGCAATTGTGGACTGCCAAGGACGTCTCGGGGGTCTTCTCACTGCTGGTGCGGGTCCCACTGATCGCTGTCACATTACCTATGCCACACCAATCTCTTTTATCCTCGAAACCCTCCGGTCCAACAACTACAATCTTAGCCTTCATACAATGACCACGGCCTAGGCCTCCTCCTCCTCCTAAATCGTGGCAGGCATTGGCCGGTAGGGATCCACATCCTTTTTGTTTTAGTTTCATTTTCGCACCTGACCTGTGGACCGGGACCAAAGCTAAGAAGTTTAGTTAGGATATTGTGTGTACTTCCTGTTTTCTCTTGTAATGGGAACTGGATATTAGTACCCTGGATGCTTGTGCTACTCTTTTGTAGATGTTCTCTTCTCTCTTCTCCTGTTGTTATCCAATTTCCTATCTATGCCAGACCCGCCTCTACGTTCACACCTGGCTCAATTATGATAGGTCTCATTTTGATTTGTGCCTTATAACTTGAGACCTGTGGAAGATCCCGGTTTTTTGAGAGAGATCGCAACCCTTCTCTCCTTGTTTTTTATCTCTTTGCTTGCTTCTTTTCCCTATCTTCCTAAATGTCGTCATGCTTCCCCCTCCATTCCTTTTCCTCTTATGATTTCCTGTATGCCCGTAGCTATAGTCATACGGTATAAAATTGAATTTCTTACCAACCCCCTCCACTTTCTCAACTTTCTCATCCTACTGCCCAGTAATAGCAAAGGAAATCATGAGCCTGGAAGCGTCCCCTGTCTCCTCTCTACGAACATCTTAGATGCGTGAACGGTCCTCACTGCCCAGGCGGCATGTTCGCCAACTGAAGCTGTGCCACGCAAAATACACTTCGGTGGATTCTTCCTCCCGCGTTCTCCTACGCTTTACTACCTCAGACCCTTGGCTTGGAGTAGCTAGGAGGGCCAGGGTTGCAGTTGTGAGGCATGTAGCCTGGCCGCCGATGATGGGGGGTGAGTCCGGTAAGGAGGATTATGGTCGATACGGGGGGAGCAGTCAGGACCCAAATCCTCTGGGTAGTGCCGGAGGGGTGCGGGTTAGAGACAATAGTGTTCGATAGGTGGGGGTTACAAACCGATTGTTAGCTTTGCAAATACCAAAGCAGGAACCTGCGAGAACTTAGATGGGAGGAGCACTTTTCGGAGATCTCTGGTATGATGCACATCGCATACACCTGCCCTACTGTCATTGGCCCTATGATTTTTATCTTGCTTTGTAGAAAAGTTATCTTTGGAATCCTCCTTCTTCTCATAAGTTGGCTTCACTCTGATGACACTGGGCTCTTCATCCTCCCGCAGGCATTTCAGAGATCCATGGCCGATTTCCTGCCGATCTTCTGAGTTTTCTCGACTATCTCCTCCTCTTGTTTAATTCCAGAAACAGGAACCGTAGCCCGGGGAGTGTCCCGTGCCGCACCTCTGTCAACCTCTTTGACACACAAAGGGTCTTCAAGATCATTGAGCTCTCCAGAGATTCTTGCCAGAACTCGATATGGTTTAATTTCATCAGGCGAGGGATAGCGTTTACCCCAGTGTTTACCATCGCTATCATACGCATCTCGTGGCCTAATAACATGGTAACACCGTACGTAGACATCATAGTTTTCATCGCTGACAAGATCCAGGGTTTGTTGATAGTACTTTAGGAAAATACTAGCAATGAACTTTAAAAGAAATATCACGCAAAGACCCCGCCCTTCCGGAATCCAAAATGCAGAAAACGTGAGTCTCCATGGTCGCATATTCACCAGTGTGATTGGGAGAGGAGTTTAGATTGCGATCAGCGCTGCCAACATGCATTGCATCCCCGTTGCCTATTTCGCCCCACAGCGCAACAGTACTTTGGGAGTTGACATAGAAAAAAACCTCGTTGCATGACACAACACAACATTACTGCTAATGGTGCATAGAGAAAACCACTCTAACCCGGAACTGCTCAACATCAGACATGGTACAGAAAATCCGTGCCTAATGCACCCCATAAAGAAAAGCTATTATAATACCCTGAAATCAGAAAGGAAAAAAGTAAAAACCTAAGATACTTTAAAGAGCCACCCTGCACCGCAACTCGCTGAGTGTGACTACTCGAAATGTAGCGGACTGGCGGGTTTACAAGTGACCTTCCACAATTGGGCTGCGTGGTGATCTTACCCCAGAAATACCATCTCTTCAAGGGCTGATGGTGCCAAAATTGCCTACATCGCGCCCAAGCCTAAACTTGTGTAATTGGGTCACACTGTTCCAGAACCAGTAAACTAGTCATGCCATATGCAGTCATATTTAAGTTATGAGTCGTTCTCCAACCTCAGTGGTGAACTGATGATGGAAGCGCCGCCTTCTCTTATAAGCTGGAGTAATCAGTAGTATTGTGGGATAGGAGTGTCTCTAGTGGCGAATTTTACACTCGGTTGCCCTTCAAGGTTCTACGCTTAATCTTGGATCATCAGCGAAAGTCGTTTGTCAATATCCGTGAACCAGAACAGTGTCAGATACTAGTTTTACCCATCCAGGAGATTGATTCTACTAATAAAATAAAGTCCACTAATCTGATTAGTTTATATTCCGCACTGTGTCGGGAAATTCAGCATTGTCAACATTCCGGAATACTATCTTGGCTACTGACCATTAAATCCGGCATTCTTTTTCATCTAATTCAGGCTACAGAAAAATAGAGTTGGATAAAACCTGATGCTTCTCGAACACTGCCATACGACTGGAATTGGGTTCTAGATACCCGAGCGCCAGATGACATCTCGGACAGTTATCTTCTGACTTGGCACTTGCACTTCATTTCATTGCAACTCCGCTGCTCAAAGCTCTGCTACAGTTAGTAATCTCTTAGCCCCCGGGGGCTACAGCAAGTAACCTGGGATCACACAGTTGATTGATTTGTTTCTGGGAGAATGCGCACGAGATACCGGTATGTCTCAGGCCTCTCGACAGGAATACATTACATTAACAAATTGAGGAATGGTGCAATTCCTGAGGCGGAGAATTCCAAAATCCTATCCCCCTCCGCTTGCTGCTCGCTCTACTCCCGCACTATTAGGCCAGATCGCATAACGAGAACGTGCTCTAGATGCACTATGGATCACCCCCAGAGTTCCTCTCCACCTTTCCTGACACAAAGGCTGCAGTAATACCTCTATCGAGCGTACTGTAGGGGACATGTAAAGATTATGGAAGACAGAGTCCCCTTGCACTGCGCACCCTTGGGCTAGTCTCACTTGACAACTTCTGAAAGCCACCGCCGCTGCCTTCAGGGCTCGGCTATCACCCACCCCTTCTCGGCGATAACGGCCTTCACCCTGTCAGGGGTCCACCGGACTTGGCTCCTGTTTCCCCCCAGACACCAGGCGCTCCTGTTGATCCAGATAACCACTCTATAATTCACCCCCTGATTACTGGCGCTTCTAGCTTCTCCGGCCTATGCCTAGGAATTTTCTCTCCATCACGAGCGATACTTGAACGATGAGGCTATTGTAAGGTTTTTTCTCCCCAGAACTCAAACTTCCCTTCCGATGCGCCTTATTCTGGGTCACTCTCTAATAGTTTTATAGTAGGCCACGAAACACACTTCGGGGAAAGGACCTACCTCTGCACCAAGCCCGGGCCCACCTGGTGGTTCTCATTTCCCCCACAGAAGGTTACGTACAACCACTGTGATGTAAAATATCTGGATCTGTGCTTGAGACCCCTGGTTCCGGGGTGCGATTGGGTCAGAGATACCGGGATCAAAAGAAAGGATAAAATCCTCGCTCATGTGTGGAATAAATATGGTATCCGGCTGCCTCGTCAATCCCGGTGTAACTATCCGCGGATTATGTGGTGTCAGAATATGACTCGTGTTTATGACTCTCACCCTTCACTGTAATAGTTCTAATACAGGATGTTTCTGGGCAGGTGAATGTGCAGTTCTGGTGACATAGGCGCTCATGTGTTTATCTTTAATCCAATTTATCTCCTCTTCTTGCTCATCTGTTAACTTGGGTTGCGGATTGAGTTCTAATTTTCCCCAGGACCTAGACCTGCTGGGTAGGATCTGTCAATACTCGAGATAGCTCTCAGTGAAGATCGAGGCATCCAAAAAGGACGGAAAAAGTTTCCAGCTTTTTCCACATCGAGGAACAGAATATTTGTCACCTCTCTTGTCTTGAAATCACACCGTGGTCTTGAGATATTCTCAGTAACTATAAGTCTGAGTAGGTGGTGACGAATACTTGACAAACACAATCTCCATAAGACATCGGTTGAAATTTATGGTATCATACTATTTTTAGAGGCTGCAAGCATATAATATCTCTCCTCCTTCCTGACTTCTTTCTTCCGCCGAACTCCTCCCCTCGTCCGTTGCACAATCCTCCCAATTCTTACAAGGCATTCTACCACATCCACCTCGGCCTCCTCCAGCATAAACAAGAAAATCTACGCTCTTTGATCACCGAAGCAGCTACGTGCGCATTGCAAAAGTATCCGGATATCTTGGCACAGTTTCAGTTGTTGTGACAAACTTTAAATCGGAGCCCTTAACCCGCCGGCATAAGGCACTTTAACGCCCTATAGCTCACCCGGTGCTTGGCACTTCTAATGTATCTTTATAGTTCTGAACCTCCTGCCTATCCTCCATTGGAGTATACAGAGAAAACTGCCATGAAGTTGTCGGGGAACCTTAGCAATTTTCAGTTGTGCAAGCCATTTTTGTGAGAAAACATGCTGCTTAAAGAACTTGCTAACGGTAGTTATGGGCGATGCCAAGACATCAGGATACAATTGGAATGCACAAGTACCACTGATGCTACGAGACCTATGTCCGTATCCTTGCCCACCATGACGGGATTTACATAAGACGAAGTTTCTATGTGCTATGCATGCGTAGTTTTCAGGGTGATCACTCTGATTGGGATGCTCGTGCCAAAGTTGTGACTAAGCGTCATAACCCC